CCGCTCCGGTATTAGAAATCCAATCTCGTTCAACTGGTGACACGTCGAAATTATCCTGTTGGCATACGCTCACCGACAAACCGACATGAATGACCATAGCAAAAACAATAAAATTTCTGACCAAAGCACACTACTGACATCTGGCTCCATGTTCACGGAAAATATTTAGTTAAGCCATGAACCCTCATGCAAACGTTATGAATTGGTTCGTGTCTGATCTATTCTGGACAAATTATTTTTATCTAGTTCAAAAAATTCTATGGTTTTGACAGTTCGGATCACTGCACGTTTAAATCGGCTGTTAACGATTTTCGGGCATAAGTCTGAATTAAGTGTCCTGTCGGTTTGTCGGTGATACGCTGCCATAGTTCCGCACGATACCAGGTTGTGTTTCCTCGAACGCTTTGGTGAGCTTTATCTATGCCTCCCGAGCTGTAGTTGCGTCACGAACATGCACACTTAGATTTTTTCGCCGAGATGGGAACCACCGAGCAGCTCGGCATTTTATTTTGCTGGATCTCAGTGAAAAACTTGCCGAGATTCAGCTAACAAACGGGAGTTTTGCCGAGATCTCAGCTAACAAACAAATTTTTTGCTGAATTTCCAGCAAAATAAAATGCCGAGCTGCTCGGTGGTGCCCATCTCGGCAAAAAAATCTTAGTGTGTGGTAGTAATTCGCCGGTTCCATGAAAAGCATAACCTTCCCTTTTGCCTTCATGTTCTTAACAGGATCAACGGGCTCCAACGTTCCGTTTTGTTTTCTCTTGGGCTCGATTGCTTCCCATAAGTTTCCAACTTCATGATAAGGCTTGTACTCGAAAAAAATGCACAATTTTTTATCGTGTGTAACTTTTTTATCCGTGGGTAAAAATTGATGAAAATCTGGGTATAACTAGTTTGGAGTGAATTGTTTACATGTGCAAAATTTCATAACAATCGGTTCAGTGGTTATTGAGATGTCATCGAAACAAGAAGAAAATCGCCGGAGAATTTTGCGCACCGTCATGAAAAATCCGACTGTGACCATGAGATGAATAGGAAGACAACTGGGAATCACCGATACAACTGTGTCTCGGTTGGTAATATCGTTTAAGGAGTCCCAGACGACCGAGCAGCGGGCTGGAAGTGGAAGAAAATCGAAGACAGCTGACCCTGTGAAGGCCCGGAAGGTGTTGGATTATTTCAAGCGTAATCCAAAACTTTCGATTCGCGACGCGGCTTTAAAGGCAAAGTGTTCCGCCTGGTTCGATCAGCAAACCATGAAACGAGCTGGGTTTCGTGGAAGGCACCGAACCGGCGTGATCAACAAAACACGGTGGCCAAATCCCGCGCAAGGAAGCTGTATCGAGAGTGGTTAACGAAACCGATGTGTGTGGTTATGGATGACGAAACCTACATCAAGGCAGACGTAAAGCAGATACCGGGGCTGGAGTTCTACGTTGCCAAATCACGGTTTGATGTTCCGGAAGACATAAGGAAGAAGAAAATGGACAAATTCGCCAAAAAATACTTGCTCTGGCAGGCCATATGCCAATGCGGTAAACTGATTAAGCCGTACATCACAATGGGTACCATCAACAGCGAAATTTACCGTACCGAGTGCCTCCAGAAGCGTCTGTTGTCCTTCCTGCGGTCCCAGAGACAATAACGTTGTTTTTATACCAAAAACCGCCAACCCCCAGAGATTCGTCCGGTGGAAAGATTTTGGGTCATAATGAAGGCCAAAGTTCGAAAATCGTCCAAGGTGTATAAGAACGAGCTGGAGTTGAAGAAAGAATGGATGAAAGTGACCAAAAAGGTCGGCTCCACCATTGCACAAAATGTAATGAGGGGTCTTAAGGGAAAGGTGCGGGCTTTCAGCGATGGAAAGGAAATTGAATAAAGTAATTATGCCGAAACATAATCCATATGTATTAGTTCATTCCCTGGAAGTTTTAAGAAAACCCGACTTAAAATAAGTTTTTGGCGAACACTTTTGTATGGTGCATTTTTTTCCAGTACAGGCCTTAGGTTTGGACGGCACATTTCCAAGTGATCTAATTTTCTCTGCCAACCAACAGTTCCCGAGATTCGTACTATTCGCCATTCCAAACGATTTTTCTGGACCTATAAACTCTTGAAGAAAGCAGTGACAAACTCGTCTGGTTTAGGTGAACGAACAATAACAAATGAGTTTATTTCTCTAAATATTAGACAGCTACCTTCTACCAGTTTACTACTACCAACCGGTGAAAACTAACGATTTCAAATTAGCTCACTACTTGACTAGCCTATTGGTCCCAAGCAAATCGATTAACGATGCTACTACCATAGAGCTAACTTTAAGACCAGAAGATCCCGAAGAAACGTGCTCAACTTTTTGGCTCAGCTCTGGTACTATCTTTGGTCTCAAGCTAATCGATGCACCCCTCGAAACATAGGAAAATCCACGAACCCCCCATTTTATCTGTCAAACTTTCATAGTGAATCAAAAGGCGAGAACTATTGAAAACGTCTTGTGGAACTGTGTGGAACAAGTTTGGGTGGCCGTAGAACTGAGCGATCGCACACTCTACCTATGTGCGGTGTATATTGCACCTGACCGCGTTCATGACAATGAACTTATCAATACCAATTGCCGGTCCGTTTTCACCATAATAGAGAGTGCGACACCAACTGATGAGATAATCGTTCTGGGTGATTTCAATCTACCCGGTGTTTCCTGGAAACCATCTTACAGCGGCTTTCTCTACCCAGACCCTGTACACTCTGTATTTCATACAGGATCAGTTAGCCTTCTCGACTGCTATAGTACAGCAACACTATCTCAAATAAACCACGTGGTCAACAAAAACAACCGTAGCCTGGACCTCTGCTTCGTTAGCGTTCAGGACACCGCTCCTTTCATCTCCACCGCACCAATCGGGTTGATCACCTCCTTTAACAACACGAGATGATCAACCCGATTCACGCCTTCCTCAAAATTGACCTTTGTTCGCTTTCTACTCTCTATATCCAATTTTCAAACTGCCGTACTCTAACAGAACTATCAGCTCTATAGGGGAAGGTCCATTAATTATGTCACGCAAATTTGGCCCATTTTCAAACCCCCCCCCCCCCTTCCCTCCTTTGTCACATTTTTTTATATGGACCTTAATTGTTTTTTGTAAGGCTCGTAACAGTTTTCAAAACCCCCCCTCTCCTTATAAGTGTGACATAATTAATGGACGATCCCTAGGCTGTTTCTATGCACCACCAATGCAGAGTGCGCTAGGCGACTATTAGAGAAAACGTCAACCAAACCGTTTGTTTACATCCAAATTACAATTTTTACATCTCAAATTAACGCATATTGTTATGTGTATCTTGCATATTTTCATCGAAAGGGGGTCTTATTTTATTATTTTTCATATATTTGAACGGATTTACAGCTCAAATAACACCCCATTAAAAATCCGGAAGATCATAACCGCTGGGGTAGTTTTATAAATCTTCACTTTTCTTTAAAAAAAATATGTGGAAGCACCAGCCGGTCCACTCCAAAATCGATACAGAAAACAAAATATTCCATGTGGATATTTATTACAAGCACCAGCGATGGATAAATTAATCAGAAAAGGTAAAAACATTTACCTCTTCCTATGCTTCACGGTGAAAATTTCAGCCCTCATCACTCTTTTGATGGTTCTCTTATTCACCACCAGAGGCTGGAACGATCGCTTAATTTCCATTGGATTCGCCTATACTTTCACCTCATCTCGTCATCTATCGTATTAAATGACCACTTTTAGTCGTGCCTTACTCTAACGGAACTATCAACACTATACTTTCATCTCCTCATCTATCTTATAAAATGACCACTTTAAGTCGGATATTTGACGTTAAGCATCTTCAATTATATTTGAAACATTGTTTTATCGCAAGTTTAGGCTCTAAACCATTTGGTGGATTATTTTAACTTTTGGTTAAAATTTGATAGATGGAAAGTTATCGATTAACCCTGTTATCCGAGCTTGGTAATTTTGACAACAATGGCTAAGATCTTCTCGAAAACCGGTCGATTGACAGCACATTTTAAAACATAGAAAATAATTTTCGAAATGTCACTTTTAACCACGAGTTAAATTTAACTCGGCAAATGGTTCACAGCCTTAAATGAATGTCGCTAATGGATCATTTTATGTTCCAATTACCCAATTCTACCAGCAGAGGGACACAGCAACGCCATCTGTTATTTTTGATGTTAACTTTTGAAGCTTCCTCCAATTCGTCACAGATGGATTTTCTTTAATTAAAACTCCTATTCCAAAACTACAAAAGAAAAATGAAATTGGTTAGAACAGTAAGATACCGAAAAATATAGTTATTTTTAACTTTCGATTCCGATAAGCTTGAGATCAACACTTTCAAAATAAACTGCTGTCAAAACATTCTAGAACCGATCACTAGGGGCGCTGCTTTAAAATAAATTTGCGTCCAGATTCCAAGTGGACCTTGCCTTAAAAGATCTCGAAATTCTAGAATCTTGATTTTTTAAATGATTTGTATATTTTCTACAAGTCGGAAAATATAAAAAAAAAAAATCAGGTCCCACTAGCAAGAGCCAAACCTGCTTCCGACTGCAAAAATTATTTAATGAAGTAATAATCACATTTCACAAGAATTTGATTTTTTGTTATGTTCGAGATTATGAAAATCTTTATCTGATCATTGGACACAAATCAAAACATGCTTTCACACACGTTTTGGAGATGATACCTGGCGATCATCAAATTACCAACAGCAAACGACGACGACGGCGGGCGGCAATAACACCCCCTCACCGTCCCCAACCCAGCTATATAGCAATAACATAACAACATCCAACCCAAGCAGAGAGCAATAATCGTGCAGTTTTGTAATTCTATATCCTTCGCATCGACTTTCCGACTGTGTGGATACGGCAAAGCACGTTCTCTCGCAGGGCTTGCTTCTCACACAACAAGCTGGGTCCACAGATTCGTTCCAACCATCGTCGAGAGTGGACGTGCTTTTCGCTTGGCTTAACCCGTCGATTCCATGTGCGCTCTGATCTACCGGTGCAGCAAGGCCAGCATTAGTGGAGTGTGTTTTTTGAAAATAAGAATCCGATAGTCCGATATTTTGTCGTCGTGGGAAATTTATTTTTAATTGAGTGTAGCCTACATACATACAAGAAGATCGTTTCACCAGTGCAGAAGTGGAGAGTGCAGAAGCAATATAGAGAGAGCAGTGGCAGCGGATGAAGAAAAGAGCAAACACCTGGCACCGGGCGATGATGGATTATTAATTGTGATACAATGTGGTGCACGCTGATCGTTGGTGTGTGGAGGAGACGCTTGGTGGATTATTGCGAAACGATCGAACTGAGTGAGTGGAGCTAGAGAGATTTTGAGTTGAGGCAAAAGTTTTTCGCGATTGCAAGGAAAATGAATTAAAAATAGCACTCCCGGAGTTTTGGAATCGAAGTGTTAAAAACCGACGTGCGATCGTGTGGCACATTGCGATAAATATGTGCATCGGCATCGTCATCAGCCGCGTGGTGGAAAAGGGAAACGAACGAGAGAAGTGTTGAAATTTGATACTTTTCAAATACTAAAACCCGCGCGCAGTTGGAGGTTCGTTCGAGGAGGTTCAAAGATCTGTGAGACGACCGAAACAGCAAAACGGCAGCAGCTCGAGATGGTGTTGTTGTTTGTATCACCGGGACGTTTTGCACTGGTATTATACAGTCAACAGTAGGAAATTGGCGCACATATTGCAGCAACGGAGCACCCATTGGTGTCGTGATCAATTTTATTCAGTGTCGAACAGCAAATTGAGAAATTGAAAGTTTACACAAAGTCGGTTACAATGTTGTAATAGGAGCCGTTGGATTTTTTTTTCTTCTGGTGGCATTCACCGGAACGTAGGAAATCGGTGGAATAATCAGAGTGACAGTGTTGCTGAGCATTGTGATTAGATTAACATTAATCGATAATTTGACGCAGTCCATCCGCTTTGCCGTTTGAATGAGTTTTGACAAGGTTAGTAGTAAAGTCTTTATACTATTTTGCAATTGCTTTTCAATTGTAACCTGCTATGACATGTTTATAAGGCAGAGCATTATCAGAATCTGATTTGCATTTGCTAAAAAAATTCAAATATTTAAATAGCAACACTCCGAAGAGAGACTTACCAGCCCACGGCTGAAAGTCTCTTTAATAAAGAAATCTAATCTGATCTAACACTCCAAAGAATCAAATTAATCATTTACCTATACTTATTAATTCACTTCATAATTCACTATGGCGAGGGTACTAGGACGTTAAGAACATACAGTTCACTTTTCCCATATAAACTTCAAAGGCCAGTGCAGTATGAGTTCGCATCCCAATAAACTCAAATTTTGGGAGAATGATCAGGATCTTATTTAAAATCAATTGAGCCTGGTGGAGATAAATCGATATTTTGAACCACTCTAGTGCTTCTAGCTTTGAATATGGATCTCCTCCATCATCGAATCGCACTTCAAATAGTACTTTCTTTACCAAGGGGTTATCAACTCTGCACACTGTGCCGAAACACATATCGGCACATTGATCGGTTCGTTAGGGCACACTTTGACAAGTATGACAAAGAATATAACATAAAACCGCATCACTGCTAACGTTTTTCTAATAGTTGCTAAGGTTTCACACTTAAGAATAAAATTAAAAAATCCATCGGGCTAGACGATCAGTTTCCGAATTAGAAGACAAACATATACTTTGCTCGGATCTCTCTAGCAGCCAAAACTGCGTCCATCATCTGCGAGATCATCACCAGCAACAGGAATAACCAGGTCACGCTCAGGGTCATCCACTTTTGCAACCAACACTTGCTTGGCGTTTCCGATAGCGACAATATCGGTAATCACGGTACACATGGGTCAATTCCACAGGGTGGCCAAATACATAGCATCATAAAAATCAGGACCTTACCTCCCCAGATGAGCGATCTACGGAACCACCGGTTGCTCACGCTGTTTATTATTTCAATAAATATTATGATACCCTATTGAACATGCTTAGACAATTTAGATAGGCTTTCTTTAAAAAAAAATAAGGTTTGTTTTATACCCCAACAATATATACTTTTAAAACCTAAACCCGATCATTAAACCCTTCAAACCTTCCTGTTGGCATACAACAGAACGGCATTCGGAACCTCGTAGTTGTTAATCTCAAGCAAATCTATCAACTTTTTTTTTTCAAAATCCCCACTAGTCTTAAGGAAGCCGACCTCTTCTTGTAGTCGATTGAACAGTTCCACCGCTGCCTCGCAGTTGTTATCGCTGTCGTACTGTTTCATTATTAACGCCATGGACGTAGAACCACTGGTCTATGATCACTGATTATGAATTGTGTATACGACTGAAAATCAAAACGACATTTCTCGCTGGCATCACTGGACTTCTTATGTCACTAATGTTAGTTTTGACGTTGGACGCGCGTTCTGGTTTGGTGGGCGCGCAACAATGAGACGAATATTTAAGCTTAGATTTTATTTACTGTACATCATTTCCGCATTCGCCTTTTTCAGATATCTCTTCTGAAACGTGTGAGTTTGACAGAACCGAGGACAGAACCACCAGCACTAAATTGTCGGCGTACACTGGAAATATACTGAAGTTATCAAGTTATCCCCGGGTTGGTGCGATCTTAGATTTTAAAAACAAACAAAAGCAGACCCAAGCTTGTCTGAAGGCACTTTTTTTGCAACTTTCCTTTACCTCAGTTTTTTCTTCACAGGAGGTTACACTCAAAAAATTTCACACGTTTTATCGAAGTGTTTAAACACTTGATTTTTTAAATGCAGAATCACATTTACTTTAAGTGTATTTCACCTTGGTTCGATGTGTTATACACGTTAATTTAGAGTGTTTCAAACTTTGAAATGTTGAAAATTTTCACTTTCTATTCAAGTGTATTGCACATTGAACCACGCAACTGTTCAAAACAGATGGATTTAAAGTGTTTTGCATTTCAATACGATGTGAATTGCTTGCTCAGAAAGGTAAACATCGAAAACAAGAGTTGTGACTTTATCCCATCATATACACTGAACCAATTTGACACATTCCTGTTATGTGGAAGTCTTATAATTTTGCGCTATAAGATAATCCATTGAAAATGATATGATTGAAAATGTGTCAGGTAAATTCTATATGAATATCTGATACATTGACAATGCTGATAATTTGAAAACTTTTATATGATCGCCATATGATAAATGAAAATCGGTCAAATTATAATAATTAACTGAAATGGATTTGAAACCCATAAGCATAAGCTTTACTTTTCACCACAATATAATATATGTGTCATAAATCAATCGAAGTAAAGTTTATGTGAAAATCACATGAAATTTATTTATTCTTTTGACACATATATTTAATCGATTTCTAAAAATAAATCGAAAAATAAACACCAGGCAGTGGGAGCTTTCACAGTTGTGTTTTTTTTATTGTAGTTGATTTGGGATTCGATCCAGAACTGTTGAGCTGTGATGCTTTTCGTGTCTGCGCTCGATTCCATTAGGCCACGGCTGACTTCAATATTGAGCTCGTTCAATTAGCATGAAGTAATAACAGCTCTCCCAACATGAGCAACGTTATGCTCGTTTTGCTAGAGTGAAGAAAAATAGCATTGACCAATATATGCTCCGTTTCAGTGGTGTCGTGTATTCAAATCATAATTTATGCTCCTGTGTGCAATAAAACAACGACTACATTATATGAGTTCATGGAACTGGTTCATGAAGTTCGAGTACTAGTGCTGGAATCTGAATTAGCCGTGTAGAAGGCTTACAATTAGAATCTTAGCAAATAAATATTGCAGTAGAATCATTTTTTTTTTCAATCTCAAAACATTCTTTTCCGGGACCCCTTATCTTATGAAACAATAACAAACAATGATTATTTATTACAGTATCATTGTTGTTAGCAATATTTAGTTCGACTAATCATTCTAATGAGTGTACGATAACATAGTTGAAAATTGTTTCAATAATTTATAAAGAACAATTATGTAAGATGTATTTTATTGGGAGCGATGTTCATCCCAGATAAACATACCAAAACAAATGTTTGCTGTTGGATTTCTTAAAAGGCAAATCTATATGACTATTTAATGATTGGGATAGATCTTTTTACAATATTCAAACCTCAAAAATCAAAGGAAGCTATTCCAATGAGATATACATGTTTTCCTATACTGCAAAGTTAAATGACAGTCCAATAGTTTCTACATGTCTGATTACACGCGACATATCAACAAACGTCAAAAATCGTTAAAAGCAACTCCAATAAAATATACATGATTATCTTATATGATATATCTTTTAGTGAGCAATATTCATCATGAAAACAGGTACATTTTACTCGATTTGCTCATAGTGCAAACTTATATGATTTTCCATTAGTTTCTGGATGCCTGTTCCCACCCATGACATATCAACAGTTTTTCACCATGAAATATATCAGACAATATTCATATACATCTTACCTATCGCTAACCACGTTCGAAGCAAAGTATTATCAAGTACTAAGTATGTGAAATTACGATAGAAATCATTTCATATCGCAGTCATAGTTTTTAAGTGATAATCCATTGGAATCTATCAATCATCACATAGAATGAATAAATCTCCTGACATTGCTATGTTATAAGATGGATCCAATAAACGGTACATGTCGATTTGTTTCAGTGTATGAGTACAACCGTGGCACAGTGAGATCGAAGGAAGACTCCGGCAGTAGCACACCCCAACAGTCCATGATCGAATTCAAAATCAGACCCATTAGAAAGATATGTCAAAGCTCTGGCCTCTGGCAGTTTTGATTATATATTTGTCGTTTCAATTTTTAGAGTCGGTAAAGTAGAAGTCGATAAAGTAGAATATTGTAGAATATTGAACTATGGTGTGCAAAGCTATTGATATCACCATATGAGACACATAGAATCCAAGTGTGTCACAATTCAAATCCATAGTGTTCAGGCATGGTTCATAGCATAAGATTCACACATGAAATGGATGTGTTTCACAATAAGCGCAAAATTAAGTGTGAGACACATGATGATGGCGTGTGGAATTTTTTGAGTGTAGTATTGATTTTAACAATCAAATCTGTGATGGTTTAAAATATTTCATCTTGGGATTTTTGAGAAAAAGTGTTTTGAAGTTTACTTAGCTGTTTACAAAGGCGTATACGGACTATTGATGATACAAAACTGTTAAGGATCGAAACAAATTCAGCTGAAAATGATTCAAGAGGGGATTGAAGTTGCCCAAATACTAAGTTTCAATGGTATAGTAAGATTCGCTCTTCGATACCGTCAGATATCGTAACTTTGTCATGATCTCATAATGTTTAAATTAATAAAATAATTAAAAAACTATTGTCTTAAATTTACTATTATTGAGACATTCCATTGCAAAGTGGTTCTCAGAATTTGGTAAAAAATTGTAGTTTTGTTCTATATCGCTAAATATTTTCTTCATTTTGTCATTAGGGTGGCAATTTCAACGTTAGGGTAGTCCAATAAATAGTTTATTTTTTTTTATTTTCAAAATGATTTTTTTCAAAAATTTATAACTTTTGAACCGCTGGGCCCATTTCAAAGACCAAAATATTAAATGAAGGCTAATTAAAAATTCTTAATATATAATGATATTATTAAAATGAGATTTTGTTTTGAAAAACATTGATTGCATTTAATAAATGGTTTTCATAGTTTTTAGATAGAGATGTGATTTTATATTTTTCCTTGAAAATTTATGATGATCAAAATATCATCCTTCAAAAACTGTCGTCGTATTTTCGGCAGCCACCATATTGGGTTATTGGGATCATTCTTGGCCGCGTTGTCTTTCTTCATAGCTGAGTTGAGGCAGGGCTGGATAGTTTGACGGCCGGTATGTCTCATACATTTAGCAAATTTTAGCATCTGTAATATAAAAAAGTACAGTTTAAAGTTACGTAAAATATAAAGTTATGAAGATA